GGTATTTGTGATAATTACAAGTAATAAAAAATAATGAATTAAATAATTGAAATTACATATTATACAATATTTAATAATCTGATACTTCGAGAATATATTTTAGAATATTTTCGCATAAATAAAAGAATAAATAAATAATTAGGACCGGAAAGCTTTAAAGTTGTGTACTAGTAATTTGGTAAATTATTATGTATATAGTCCTGGAAGATATATTTTATGAAAATTAATTAATAATGCGTTCCCTCATTCAAAATTTTTTTGGTTTGGAAAGATGAGTTCGACTTTTTATGAGTTTACTATAACTCCTGGTTGTTTTTGGAGTCAATCTCTAATGCTACAAGCACTCTGATCTTAATCCAACTTACTTGGATATTTTTTGGGTTAATATATAGGATTTGACGCTTCACAATTAGTATATCGAAACCCCTACTTTTCAACATACATAAAACAATTAATACAATACTATATAAAAATAGGTGTTTAATATTTAATTATAAGTATATGTATATGTAAGCAGGTATAAATGTATATATTGTGTATATTTAAAATATATTATCTATGTATATGCATATTTAGCTTTCAGTATATTTTTACTAATACTTTTGTTAATCCGACGACAGTCAGTTTCGAACCACTTTGGATTCGAAATAATTCGAGATTTGTCGGTCAATGTAGCACAATACTTCCAAAATATACAAGTGTTTTGCATATTTTGTTAAAATAAAATTTAACAAATAAATAAATATATATGTATATAATTATAATTAAAAATATGACTAAAACTATAATAATAATAAAATATTTAAATAAAGTCAGACAATTGAATATGATAAAAATCAATAAGTAAAATAGCTGCAAAATATGGATACAATATCATAATATACATATGAACTTATATAACTACTTTAGTCGAGAACGAACGTTCGTTCTGAAGACAGGCTGGTTCTTTACGTAGATTGTTGTTGTGGCATTAGAAAACATTCTAGAAGTAATTTTGAGGTGTGCTGCCGAGTAGAACCTCCTTGGCCGAATAAAAATACGTATCTGTACGGGTTACGTACAACCGACTGACGTGCACGTCGCTTTCAAAGGCGCCTAAACTTTAGGAGTGTTTAGGATGCCACAACAACAACAACTAGCATACTAAACATCACGACTGCGCAATATAAAACCATCACTTCGTGCAGAATGATTTGAATTGATTTCGTTTTGTACAAAAAATTCTGTTTGTGGCGTTTGCGGAGTACGCTGACGTCTTCTTCCCAGTGACTTTGCATCCACAAACGACCAATCACGACTTTTAGATACACTTATGATGCGATTCAATAAGAACTCCTTATCTTTCGCCTCCAGATAGATCATTTCTTTAAGCAACTTAACCATAAGGCGACGCGCACGCGATTTGGCGCGCAAATAGTAAACGAGAGCGCTTAATGTGACTAACATTATGCCCACGGCAGCTGGACGGACAAGTAGTGTAAGAATGCGCCAGAGTGTCTGATTTTCACGTAGCTTCAGCACACCGTCGATAAATATTTGAAACATATAACCGGAGTCCCGAAACGGACCACATTGGGCACTCATTGGCAGTCTATAGAGAGAGAGAGAGTGAGATAATAATATCAAGCCTACAAATATGAATTCATAGTTATATAATTATATGTACGTACTGTGTCATTATATAACCCAATGTCAGGATGACGCCCAGCACCGATACAAAAGTGAAGACTAGATAAAGTGTTTGCGTTTGGGCCGAACGCCAGATGTGACAAGAGGGCTTACACAGATGCAGCAAGAGCGCTTTGTTTATATAGAACTTGAGGAACAATTTACAAACGATGATTGCGACAAGCAGTGGTGAGAAGAGCAAACCTAGCCATAGTAAAGTTTGATTGTAAACGAGACACAAACTGTTTTGTGAAATATCGAAGTCGGGACGACCGAGCCAAGGCCAGTAAATGCTGAAATTTGCGAAAAGAATAAATTATTTGCATCATATATGAGCGCCAAGCCTTACCTTGACAAAAGCGCGCGAGTGACACAGCAGAAAGGTATGATAATTAAACAGATGAAAGAATCCGTTATTATGAAACGGTACAATTCTTGTCCTATATGAGTCTCCCAACACTGCAAATATGGAGAAATGTAAATAAATACTGCAAGTTTTAAAAATAGCAACCAATTCACCTGACTGTATGATTTTGTTAGCAGAAAGTATACCAAAACGCTTATAATAACAGACTCCAACAGAAAATTTCGCAATAATGCTATATGTAGTGTGCGGCGCGGCGAGCGATAATCTTCCATCCTATAAAAATTAGTAAATAAACAAGCTTATATAAAGAAGCCATATAACATATGTGTACAAATCGCTTTACCGTGAAATCCATGATAAGACAGATTGCATAAGCAGCATTGTGAGATTTAGAATGCCAGCAGTTGAAAGAGTTCGCCAGCCAGACACGTCATCAGTAGAGTCAAGTTGCTGTTAAGGCATACACATACAATAAACACACCATAAATCATAACACCTCACACAACTTACTTTGAGCAAAATCCACACGCCCACACCAGCGCCGCCTATTATGGTAGCCACTAGCACATGGGCGATGGCGCGCGAACAAAAAATCCATATACGCCACCAAACTGTGGGCTTTCTCTTGGGCACAGCCCGCTCATTAAGTACCGCTTTGAATTCGGCAAAAATCGCAATATGTTTCAATTCGGCCGCCTTCCGATTTGAGATGCCGAAATCCCAAGCGCAGAATGTTTTGGCCACGAGTATGGCTCTGCCACCGCCTGCGGCTTGAATGAAGCTTATGCGATACACGCGCGCCATTCTGTTTGATAAAGAAGTTTATTACACATAAATTTTATAAAATATTTACGCACAATTCACGGAGATACGCACTTGGTGGATATTACTATGAAAATCAGCAAGTACAGCACCAGCATTGTCATGAAGTAAGCATGTGGCAGGCTATACTGACTAAGTGCTGGATGTAGACGAAATGTTGCATTACTATAGCCGCTATAGAAGAGTAATGAATTCTGCAGATAACCCTAAAATGGAAAAAATATTATTTTTTAATACATAAGGTAACCCGTTCATTTACAATATTTACCTCGCCCGTAAATACATCCAAAAAAAGTCCGCTAGCAGTTTCACTAGAATTTCCTACATATTTATCAGATAATACTGTTTCGTTGAGATTAATTTCATTTTCTATGGTATTATAAAGTAATTGTGGAAATATGACAAAGCAGACAACGCAAAACAACACAAACACATTTAACATCAAGAGCCAACGTAGAAATTTAAAGTACGAACTAACATTGCAGCCGAAATGTCCTTCGATGGTCTTCACCTCATCATACCATATTTCCAAAGTATGGCTTATAACACCTACGAGTTTCCAGCTTCTTAAGAGAAAAGTTATGAAAGCATTTGTTAATTTGTGACACCAGCTGCAACGCGTCTCCTCGATTGCGTGCTGTTCAATGCTGATGGCTAACTTTCGTTTAAGTAGACGCTTAGTGGCAAGTGGTTGCGGCAAGGCACGGAGCGTCTCGCTAAAAGTAAGTGTGTTAAGTATGAAAAAAGTACAAAAATTACGTTCAACTTTTACATACAGTCTATGTTCATGACTGAGCGCAGTGTCTTGCATGAGTCCATCATGCTGCTCGATTTCCTGTGCCAACAATTCAACCTCGTTTTCGGCGTGAACTCGACTATTTGAAAGCAGTTTGCCATCCGCTTGCAAATATCTATGCGACGGCATGCGATAAATAGTTTTCTCACGTATGCCATGTTTATCCCGATCAAAGCGTGCCAAAGTTTGTGACCAGCGACGCATCTAAATCGAAAAGGTAAAATTAATTAATTGTATATCAAAGAATATTTTCCCTACATATCCACAACTAACCATATTTGTGGGTTTCGCTCCACGATTGAAACTACTCGCTAACACTGCCAATGGCGAAGTTGCTCGCCTATATTGTAGCGTACCAAAATTACTAATCAACTCTATGGATTCGTCGCCGCATTGCTCATCAGCACCATCGCGACTGCCGCCACAATCGCTATGTTTGCTTTTTACATCATCTGCGGTGGAAGTATTTGTGACAATCCTAAATTGCTGTTCTTTACCACTTGTGGTAAGCAAATTTTGACTGCCTTCTAGTTGCGTAAATAGTTCGCTGTGCGATGACGTCGTCGATGTAGTAATCACTTCAATTCGGTCTAAGTCTTCAGCATCATCGGATACAAAGATCCGATTTTCCTGACCACAGTCCGACATGACGTTCGGCTATTGTTAAGGGTGATAAAACATGATTTTGCACAAAAAACATAAACTCAAATTATAGACAAAAATTAAACGAAGGAAATTTAACAAATGGAACTAAAATTGTAAAGCCACTAAACTAAAATCAGCTGTTAAACACGGAAGAATTTTGAGTGAAAAGAAATTGTGAAATCAGCTGTTGTCGTGAGAAGTATAAAAACTGAAATCTACATAGTTTTATTTTGATTGTGCTATTCGTAAACAAATGGGCTGCCACTTGTCCAGAGATTTATTTAATACCCCTGGGTCAGTAGGAATAATTCGATTTTTTATACCCTGTACAGGGTATATTAATTCTGCCACGAAGTTTTTAACACACAGAACGTAAAAAAGTATATAGAGTTGTCTCCAGAATTGTCAATGGAGTTTTTTAAGACTTATGTACTCTTTAACCTCTCTTTGACCAAATTTCTATCCTATTTTGTGTTGTGTGTCCCAAATGGCAGATTATAATGGTAGTCATTAGAAATTGGTTAGAAAAAACACCCAGAAGGGGAGGAGATTTTTTTGCACAAAAAACGTCCTCTATATCCCTATATGGTACATCAATCTTTGACTGTATATACATAAATCAATGATAATGTGATCTGATTACGTAGAAACGTGTGTCGTGAGTATGAGCATAGCGTCTCGTATTTTAAAGAAACACTATAATAGAAATAGGATCATTTATCCCGAAATATATTTACTTAAAATCCTATTGTGACCATTTGCATTTTCTCTGCTTTAGATGACGTTATTTAATTTATGAAATTGTTCATATAAAGAAGCTTTACAATAACAAGCATTTTGGAACAATATTGAATAATAATTCCATTAACTACATTTAAGATTTGTGACATGTAATAACAGTACGTTCAAAAAACAAAAAAATTGAAATCCATAAAGTTCATTCAAAAGTCTGTAACACGCCCTTTACGCTCCCAATCTCCATAACGTGTTGGCTCTGGTCCTGCAGGTCCGCCAATTTCTCCAGTATGTGGGTTGGTTGCATTGGGCCAGGGCTTCAGAGGTTCTTTCTCTTGGAATGGATGTTGTGAGAACTCATCTAGTTTGCCAATTGGTGTCTTGGCACGCAATTTCTTTTCAAATTCCACTACCCGTGCACTCTTTTCTTTCGGTTGCTTGGAATCAGCACAAACACACGCTGTTGTGGATAAAGCAGCGATATTGCATTGCAAAACATTTGCTGGTGCTTGCTTTAATGTCGACTGGCACAAACGACAAGTTTGTTTGGTAATATTCAACAAATTACTCATTATTTTAAATATTTTAATAGAAATGCGTTTTGAATAAAAACAAATTTATTTCACAATAGAAATTGTATAATGACAATTGACAAGCTGGCTGTCAGCTGTTTCTACTTGACTTCTCTCCTTCGTATGACATTTCGAAATTTGTTGAAATTTTCGATAAAAATTGTGGTGAGAACACTTTTTGTTTACTCTTCTGTATTTTCAATTCACCACAATTTTTAGCGGCCGGTGAATTTTTATTATTTCTTGCGCGAAGAGAGAGCATATACAAGAGAGCGGATGGCATCTACAATTTCATGTTCTCTGGTAGGTGTTTACTTATTTTGTATTTATGTATGCCTTTGTTCAGGCGTTCATTAAAGGGTCATGGAAATATAAATCTGTATATATGTATGTATGTACATATTTTAAAAACAACTGAACTGATAATACGTCCTTTAATGCACGTACTCTGGCTTTCTCGCCACGCAAATAAAATGTATTATAAAAAAATAATATTGGTCATTGGTCCATATTTGTTTATGTAAATACGCACGCATTAAAATAAATGCGTAAATACATAAATTGTGAATTAGCAAAAAATTTTGAAACTTGTTTTTCTGGAAACTTGCTTTCTCTGCTAAATTTTGTCATATTTGTTTCTTAATTATTTAATTGTTTACTGGTAAATATTTACTTGTTTTGTTATTCTGGTTTTTAGATCAATATTGAGTTTCCAGACAATTTGAATAAGCACGTGAAGAGCGAGTGCAACAACAATCATCAATTGCACATGTTAATCGGTCTTCTTGATGGATAGATAGATACATAACTGAGGAACTGCGACCATTAGACCTATTGTGCCCTCTCCTAACTCACAGGGACTCGCTTAGCCCCAGCATATTGACGTAGTGCAGTATTTTGCTGGGTGCTAGCGAGGCGATGTGATCCCTATCCGGAAACATGGCTTCAAGGGCCTTCGACCTGCGCCTACAGACTGCAATGCAGTCGATTAGCAGGTGCTCCGGGGTTTCAGGGTCCCTGCCCCTGCCAACCGACAGTTGGCGCAAGATGATAGGCCCATGTTAGTTAAGTGCCTTTTCAGCTTGCAGTGACCGGTATAGAATGCAACCAGGATCCTGAGTTTGTTTCTTGGGAGGTTGATTAACAATTTAAATCTTTTTTGGTTATGCCCCCCAACTAGCAGCTTGGCATGACGCATACCGTGCGCTTGCTGCCAATACCTTTCCCTGCACACTCTTTCTTCCTTGCGGAGCAGCTCCTTCACAGTGTGGGGACCCACCGCAATGAATGGTTCGGGCCCAACCATACTGGTGGAGGCTGCGGAGCGGGCTAGCTCGTCAGCCAGTTCGTTGCCGGCTATGCCCCTGTAGCCGGGCACCCAGATTAGGTTTGTAGCTAGGTTGTTCAATCGTTCTCTGCACTCCTGCACCAAAAGCGATTTGATCTCGTAGGAAGAGATMGCTTTCAGTGCCGCTTGACTATCGCTGAGTATCGCTATGCGCTCGTTACGATAGTTGCGGTGGAGGTTTATCTCTGTACACCGACTTATAGCCAGGACTTCAGCCTGAAAAATACTTGGAAAGCTTCCCATCGGAATGGAGAGCTTTGTACGCGGGCCTACAATATCGCACCTATTCCTTCCGACGTTTTTGAGCCGTCGGTGTACCACCTCAATGTACTATCCCTTAGCATTTGCTCAAGAGTGGGGTCGTTCCACTCACTCTTGCTCCCGAGGGTAACCTTAAACCTTTTCGTGAAGTGAGTTGATTTCGTAATCCCGTCCCTTGGGAGAAGGGCGATAGGAATGTCGTCACTTATCCTCTCCATCATCTAGGACGAGATTATCTTGTCTTTGCCGCACCCGTCTGCTGTTATCTGCAGAAGTGAGTGCTTGGCTACCTGACCTATCATTATATGTAGTGGTGTAAGTTCCAGCAGGACCTCCAAAGCTGCCGTCGGACAGGTTCGCATAGCGCCCGTCATGCAAACACATGCTAGCCGCTGAAGCTTCGATAGTCGGTTAACCACCGAAGCCTGCGACGTTACAGAGACCCTGGACACCGCCCCGTAAGTAATTATCGGTCGCACAATCATGGTGTACAACCACCTAACGATCTTTGGCTTGCAGCCCCAGCCCGCCAACCGTTTGCACACCATTAATGCTTTTATAGCTTTGACTAGCGTTTGGTTCACATGCTGCTTCCACCGCAAGGTGGAATCCAGCGTAAGGCCCAGGTATTAGACCTTGCTAGTCATCTTGATCTCTCTGCCCCCAAGTGTGAGGTTCCTCAAGCCGGGTAGGGACCTGTGCCTTGTGAAAGGGACTATGGTTGTCATATTTGTTTCTTAATTATTTAATTGTTTACTGGTAAATATTTACTTGTTTTGTTATTCTGGTTTTTAGATCAATACAGACAATTTGAATAAGCACGTGAAGAGCGAGTGCAACAACAATCATCAAATGCACATGTTAATCGGTCTTCTTGATGAACACATACATAAAAGATACATATGTATGTATGTGTGTATGTACATATTTGTATTTGAATACGATATGGAGGATTTGTTTGTTATTTTTTATTCAACTTATATTTTCGATTTACGTCGAAAACAAGTTAGTTTTATGGACCTTAGCCACTTTAGGCGATAATGTTCTTTAACCTATGTAAATAACCTACAAACTTATATAATAAATAATATTTCAAGAAGATAATATGTCAAATGAAGCAATTTTTCATACAAGGATTTTATTGTGGATCGGTCAGTTTGTATGACCGCTATATCGTATAGTGGTGGGATATCGATAGTTCCGTCAAATAAGCAGATGCATATCTCAAAAATGAGGGACTAGGTTCGCTTACATACAGAAGGAGAGACGGTCGGGCATGACTAGATCGATTCAACTAAATTCGCGTTGTTTGTCAATAGATGGCTCCAGTAGTTAGTGAACTATAAACTTAACCTATACATATGTACATATGTAAGTATGTAAAAGGGGCTGCATTTTCACATTTGTGACTTTGTATACATATGTGGCATATAATTTTGGTTAACGCTGAAGCACATGGGGAACTCCAAAAGTTTACGGAGGGACTGCCCTAAGGGAAACAATGAGCTGTGATTGGTCGCTTTAAAGGTGGCGATTGCGTCTTTTTGAAAACGGCCGGAATTGTGGAAGAATAATTCATGGATTTTACACGATGATAATACACCATTGCATCGAGCCACGAGTTTGACCCGGATTTAAAGCCAAAAAAGCAATGAATACCATTTTTTCTTGTTCCCCAAACAGAAATTGCTGCTCTGTTGAACCCGAAGAGGCGAAACAAAATTCGGTGAAAGAGCTGAAGGCCATCCCAAAAAGTGCTTGTGAAAAGTGCTTCGAGGACATGGAAAAATCGTTGGCATAAGTCTAGTACATCTGGTCGGAATGACTTTGTAAAGGACAAAATAAATATTGAGGAATAATTAGATGTTTCCTTTTATTTACATTTTCCAGTTACTTTTATGTCACAATATATACAGTTTTCAGACTGCAATAAGTCTAGAAGAATGTCAATAACCGAGAGTCTTTGAAGATGACGTTTTAATCAAAAAGCATGCCATTATTTAAACAGTAATAAAGTAATAAAAAAATATAAATCGACAATAGTGCAAGGACGTCTATAATTCATTTTAATTGTGTATTAATTACTAAACTTAAAACTAAAAAACCAAGGAGAGTGAGTATGAGAGCATTTGGAGCATGTCAATTATTTTTGTCTGCTGTCAAACATTTAAAAGCTATAATTCACTCCTTCAATTTTGCAAACCAATAATTTTTGTTATTGATTTAGACAACATTCTCGTAGCCAGCTGCAACTTTCCAATTTTGAGCAGTCCAATTAAAACTGCGCGTCGGTAAAGCAGTTCAACACCTAGAAAGGCGCACAAATTGTACCAACTTCACTTCAAAGCATTACTTTGAGCAAACATTTTGACAAACCAGAAACCAAAAGTAACGCTACTTCAGCAAGAGAGGCGAAAGACACTTCCGCTTGAAACCAATTGAAATAAGTAATACGAAATTTTTGTTTGTTTCTCTTTTAGATAAAATATTTTGGTCATTTATTACAATATAAATTAACACACTTATTCAGTCTAGAATGCTTACTAACTACTAGTACTAAGTAAATATTGCTTCAACACAATATGCGCGTAAATATCTGGGAATTCGTTTGTATCTTACAAATGCTTAAATGCTAGTTAGAAAATAGAGCATTCTTTGGACTAGAAATCTGAGACTCGACCTCTGCGCTCCCAGTCGCCATAGCGTGTTGGTTCGGGACCAGCTGGACCGCCAATTTCGCCTGTGTGTGGATTTACGCTATTTGGCCATGGCTTCCAGGGATCCTCTTGTGGCACGGGACGTCCTGTTATGTTCTTCAGAGAGACTTTCGAAAGAAGTTTCCTTGAGAACATCATAACAGGGGTTTCCGGCTTGTGAGCGGCATTTGTCTGATTGCATGTGCACGATGTGGAGAAGGCCGGCGCGGCTGTCTTCCAAGGATTGGGAAAGAAATTGATTTGTTTGCCCGCCGTTTGGCACAGGCGACAACTCTGCTTCGCAATATTACTCATTGTTATAGCGTCTTTTTGGTTTTCTTCTATTTCACAAACACAAATTTTCAATTTAAATTAGAACTTTTTAAAATTCTTTCACTTTGTGACGGTTAAAAATTTGCTTTACTGTTTTTTTTTTTTTTTTTTTTGTTTTCACTTTTGTTTGCTTGCTTTCAAGCTTTTGACTTGTTGATGGTTGCTCGTTGCTGAACGAATGTTGCTCCACAGCGGCGTGGCCAGCGCTTTTATACACACACGCCGCAAAACAAAACGAAACGGAAACCTTGAATGGAGTGCTCAAACGTGAGCGTACAATGAATTTCACGAAGAGCATGCCGGCCGCTCAGCGCTTTGCAGCATGTGCTTGGGTGCTTGGCGTGCGGAGCGTCGTCGGTGAATACACGTACGCTCGTTCCATGTGTAGTGAGTCACACGACCGCGCTGGTGGTGTTTGATGGACTTTTCTGCATACGTATGAAGACTCGCATGTATGTATGTACATTTCGTACATTGTTGCTGCTGACTAGCTGAGCAATCATCACCAAACATTTCGACGGCAATTGTATGTATCTCATTGAAAACTGATCGGCAGCGGAGTTACGTCCTTAAATGCACGTACGCCGCAATATCTAGTACATACATACATATGTACCTGAGTTTATACTATACAGACCGGAATGCAATTGACCGCTACATTGGATCACGCACGTTGTAGCTCTCTACGGCGTTGCTTCATTGTGAAATCGGGGTTGCCCAGCATCATGTGCAAAAAAAATGTGCAGAGTCGAATTATTCTAATAATAATACCAAAAATTAGTGCGAATTTGACTATTAGCATACATTTCCACATAATTATGTATGTATGTATGTACATATTGTATATGGACCGAGTGTTTTTTGGCGGCAGGCCTCTGTAGGCGTTGTGGGAGAACGAAATCGCATTCAAAGTCCAACAAATGACCACATAGCTTCGTGGTTGTTGTTATCGTTTTTACATTTTTCAAACAAATTTAGACCGGTTTCGAAGGAATTTTTTGAGCCGAAATATAGATTTTTGCTAATGCAAATTAATTTCTGCAATTAATCAAAATTAGAATAAAGAAAAAGCATTAAAAAAACAAAAATTAAAAAAAAGTTTTTAAATTAAAAAAAGTAATTGAAAATTGAAAAAAAAATTAAAAAATTTAAAAAAAAATATTACAAATTTAAAAACATTATAAAAAAATTAAAAAAAAAATAATGAAAAAATTAAAGAATATATATATATTTCTTAAGTTAAAAAATTAAAAATTTATATACAATAACAATAAGAATTGCAAAAAATCAATGAATTTCATTTTTTAAGGTAATCTTGCATCATACTTTCGTAGGTACATAGATAACGTGTTAGACGCGACAAGATAAGGAATAGACTAAAGAAAGTTTAGCAGCAGTCACTTTTACTGCCAAAACTATGACCACAATATTAGTTATGGGGTTGGTAATCTATTTAATAACTATCTATGGGTTATACATATTGGTAGTCGAAAAAGGTTTTTTCGTATTTCTATTCAAACTTCTTTCATTTGTTATACAAAAATTTTAAAATTGAGCGAATTTCTTCATTATTTTCACTCATTTTTGAACAGCTGTATCTTTTTTTCAACTTCCTCGAATTTAATTTGTTTGGTTAAATAAAGTTTAAAATCTCACCTTTCCAACACTATATGATAAGACACTATGTGATTGGTTGCACTAGAGATATACGACTGCAACGGCATCTATTGTCAAAATACGAAAAGACTTTTTCGATTAACCAATATAAATATATTTAGTATTATATATGTACATATATACATATGTATATATTAGAGTGCTTCAAACAAATTTTTTCCAACTTTTACTCTTTCAAAAAATCATCTAACCGTAATAAACATACATATTTACATACAGATGGCAAATATGTGACCTCTCCGGCTGATATGACTTTATTAAGCCCACCACAGCGCTTGTTCAGAGCTAATTCAAAACAATTCTGTTTATTAATTGCTATATTGACTATTAATACAATTTAATGGAGCAATATTAACTAGAAAGGTCACAAACTAAATTTGATCCCAGATTAAAATGTTCAAGACAAATAGAATATAGAGAACAAATAATAAAAAAACAAATAAAACATAAAGAAGAAATACCAAAATTGTTTGCTTATACAGCTGATTAGAGAGTAATATTTAAGACCACAGTTGATAGCAATAATTTTTGCTATCTGTATTTTTGCTATAATTGAATTACCCATTGATTTAAATGGGTTTAACTTTACTACCATTGAACTTTGGTACAATATTCGAAATTCATTCACAGTATATTTTTAATCTAACTTTAACGGATCTACCTTTTTAGATAACATCCGTGGGCATGTCTCAAAATACGTCACAGACTATGCGTTATCAATTATCTGCTATCTAAGTAGGCACTGTATATGTACATACATAGGTAGCTCTTGATTTTCCAAATATCTTTTTTCTGTTCTGTTTACGGATATCGGTTATTTAAGTATTATCACCATCCTAATTAGGGAACAATTTGATGTTTTGATGTGTGTCTATTTCATTGCTTTGAGAAATGTGTACGATGTTCGATGCAAATAAGTTTTTATGAAAAGTTTTGACTTCGAAAAGAAGTGTATGACATAAGTTTATACAAACTGGCTTAAAAAATAACGGTGTTTATCACTAATACTGTAGTTGAAAACAAAAGAATGTTAGTTTCTACATTACAGTTGTTTCTAATTAAATAAATTATTAATTTTGCATTCTCGACCATCGGTAACAACATGCCTTGCAAACCAATTATAGGTCCTGGAAACCAACTATCGGTTAAATTAATGGTTAATTAGCCGGTAAAAACTTGTCCTACAAACCAATTATCGATTAAGTTACTGGTTAACTACCCAAAAGCGCTACCAGAAACTTCTCTTAAAGTTCTATGAGTTCCTTAAGCCATAATTGACAAATTTTATTGGAAAGTTTTTTGTGGGTGTGATCGCTCAACCCTTTCTCACGCATAGTTATGTGTTAATTTCCACGCTAATTCTTTCGATGAGTTGAGCTTTCGATAGTGGTGACTTGTTGGGTGGGAAAGGACTTCACATTTAATATAAACTTTCCGATTGAAGGTGTGTTTAGAGTGTTTTATAAAGACTGAAGAATGAAAATTATTATATTTTTTGTCTAATATGAAATGTTTATAAGCCTAATTGGATACGCTTACTTCGTATGGCACATTTTAGTTTTTTATATGAAGAGGTAAGGAAATAAAATAATTAATTTTAATTGCAGTTTAGGCGATCTGTTTCAAAAGTTAAGAACAACTCTCTATTAAACTTGAAATTTAAAAACTTCATACATATGTATATACCTACATACATATTTATAGAAGACAGTGTAGTAGCTTTTAAATCATACAAACTTCAATGTCTAGTATGTAAATTTTGAAATTGCTTTCTACATTTTTTGTTTAATATATATGTATATGTACATATGTACATACATAGTTAAGTAACTAGAATCATCTGTTGTTTGTTGAGTATTATTCAAGTGTTGTTTTACTTAATATATTATTAAATATAAAGGAATAAATTTACATACCATAAAGTATGTCGTCACCTAAAATGCAAAATAACGTAACATCAGTTTGCACACATACTAAGTTTACAGGCGAAGGAAAACGATATAATAGAAAGCATTAATATTGAAACAAAATTTGAGTTTTGGTTATAAAATGTTATACAATATTGGTTATTATATCTGACAACGGTTTTACATTTTTTTTTTTGTTTTTGATGATAAGCTGTTTTGCATTTTAGGTGACAATTTGTAGGTATGTACATACATATACTTATGTACATACATATATTTTATGTAGAAATTTAGAAGAAGTAGTAAAAAGGTAATGAATGTATTTTCGTATATGTACATACATACATACATACATATGCATGTACATCCATGAACGTTTGCATAAGCAAATATATGAAAGGTTATAATTACCATTATTTTTGCGAAAATAACAAGAAAAGAAAGACAACAATTACGTTTTAATAAATAGTATGTGAAAAAATTTTTGAATTTTAAGCAAAAAACATTACCAAATTCGTGCGAGAGGAAGAATACATGTAAGAGCCAATAATTATTCATAAGTCTGCGTTAAAAAAAAAAAAATATTGTAAAAATAAAAAAAACGTTAACTTCGTTTGCAACAATTGCCTTTTTATAGCACAAAAGTGTGTACAAAATTTTTAGCTTGATTTTGAACGACCTGCTTGTGTGGTAGCTACATACTTATACGCTATAGTGATCCGATCTGAACAGTTTATTTAGAGCAGACCTGGACAATAATCTGTGCCAAATTTTACGAAGATATCTTGCAAAATAAACAAGGTTTCTATATAAGAACTAAAATTTTTGCGATCAGTTTGTATGGCAGCTGTATGTTATAGTGGTTCGATATGGGCAGTTTCGACAAATGAGCAACTTCTCGACAGCAATACATATGTATCTCAAAAATTAAGCAATCGGTTCGGGTATATACATACTTTGTTTAGGATATAAAAATTACTCAACACAAAAAATTTGAAAAAATAAATATTTTTTTGTGTAAATACTGCGGGAGAGCCGCAAGTGTAGCTTTTGAAGTAAACAAAAATATATTTTGACTTTTGAACATACATATGTACGTACATACATATGTGTATATGATGTATATGATTTGAGGTTACGCTATATTTATCGCTTAGAAAGTATTTCGTGGTCTAGAAAATTGTAAAACGTAAACAAAATACAGCGAACATACAAGTTATCGACTTGTATTGTACAAGTCTAAAAAAAAGATTTTTTTGTTGGTCGCAAGACCTTTATTGAATCACCAAAACATTAATACTAAAAACTAATTCTACTTATTCTCTCTTAAATATACCCTATTTCTACCTGTGTCAGCAATTGGTGTTGGTCGGCGCATGCCGGATGTTGTTGCAAGTGTTTTATTTTGCTTATT